CCCTTAGGATAGGTTGAGGGAAAAAGGGTAGCAAGCAAGGAAGCTAAGGAACATAGGTGGAGAGGCACAAACGTGTCTACGTCAAATGCAACTCTTATTAGATTATTTTATACAAACTAGTAAGCTTTATCAAAAAGGAAGGTATTAAAGCGTACTCTTTAAAAAATTGATAGACTCGTCTGCCAGGCCGACGAAACAAACGAGTTGTGTATGTCTATAACCAAATGACATTGGAACATTTGTTTGTTGTTTTGTTTGTTTGTTTGAACATGTCCCAATAGTTATTTGCTATTTTCTTTTTTCCTCTTGATCATGGAACGTGTACACATTGTTCTAAACCTAAGGTTCACTCTTTTTTTTAGGCTGTAGGTGTTAGCAGAATTTTGTATGCTCCTCTAGAATGAAATCAGCCTTGTTCAGCTCTGCCATTCCTCTGGTAGTGGTTTTTTCCTGGACTTAAGGAAGGTTGACCTTTACAATTTTTTTTGTTACAGCGTTTTCCATTGGGAAGAACATTTTCTCTTTATATAGACATAACGTCTATTTTTTTACTTGGATCATCAAGAACAGATTAGAGTTAACTGTCATGTCATTTTTTGAGTGCCCAAGTAGGTTTAGCTCCTTTAATTTGTTTAGTTTTTTGTGTAAGACATGAATGCTGATGCAGTAACTACATTTTAGCATTAACGTTTTAAAGGATATAGGCAGATTTTATATAATTTCCAGCAGAGGTTTCCATTTACGGTAGTATGGGCCAATTCCACAAATCAAGAATGACTTCTATTGCCAAGGTCCAGTGCCAATGCAAGAAGCAGTGTCCTTTATGTGGAGGGGTGGATAGTAAGTGGCCTCTGAACACTACTTCTTGCTGGTTGGGATACCAGTAAATGTAGAGAAGAGCTAACTGCAGGCAAGACGCAATGAGAAAACAACTGGTGTGTGTGTAGGGGATCTGAGGGAGGGTGCTGTCCAGTGTGTGTGATGAGGTGATGACTGAGCTTGCCACCCAGGCTCCAGAACCAGAAGAGGGAGATGAATATGGGGAGGAGGAGGAGTGTGTTTACGTGTTTAGATGTCCCAAAGGCTCTCAAAAGGTCAACGGGTCGCAGAGACACCCGGAAACCCCCCGCTACATTCCTCACCGTAGCAGCCTGTGTGTGTGTGTGTGTGTGTGTGTGTGTGTGTGTGTGTGTGTGTGTGTGTGTGTGTGTGTGTGTGTGTGTGTGTGTGTTGTTTTGAGTGGGTCACCCAGAGGCCATGCAGTCACGTGGATGTGAGAGGCCTCACTGCTATTGAAATGCATGAAGTTCTCCACAGGCCGTGTTGTGTCAAATGTTGTGTCTCTTTAATTCATGAGAAGGAACACACCTTGGTTCTTTACCTTTAATCACTTCCACTTTCTATTCCTACTTCCACTTCTTGCAGGAAAGTTTTGCACATTTCTTGGAGGTTAAAGCTTACTCCTATATCACTCTTCTGCAAATGTGATGTGTCACCTTTCAAGTCTTTTCATTATTTTTGGAGAGAGAACATAAAGAGCTGAAATCTACCTCTTGATAGAGTGGTGCAGGAATGAGTGCTAAAACCCAGAAATGAGTTACCACTTCCTGTATCCTCATTTCGATTTCAGGTTTTTTTTAAATGTGTTTTTGGCTAGATCCCAGAAATAAGGTCTGAAGAAATGTTTTGGGTGAATGTCTGAAGCTATGAGTCATAAAAGCTTTGGTTTCTACCAAGACTAAATAAACTACTAAACGTCATCACGCCAAACTTTAGCCGCCTTTAGTTTAGCTGATGTGAAGTCATGTGACCACGCTGTAGTTAGTTTATAGCCAGATTATCCTGCTGATACAAAAAGTGTTTTTTTCAATTTTACTTATTTTTGCTATCTTATTTGTATGCAGTATACCACAACCCAATAGAAAATCCCCTTGCTTTTAGTCGTCCTTTCTCATGCTAACTTCAGGGTCGGCCTTAAAAAAGATGTCGTCGCTGCACCAGTATAAACTCTAGCAACTGTTTTTATCACACAAACAGAAGATAATAGTGCATAAATGGGGACTGTTTTCAGCGGCAGAATAATCCACTTTTGGGGCTACAGTGTGTGTGGGTGTGTTCACAGTAGGCTAATAAAGGAACATGTTACCTAGTGTAACATTGTTGAATCATGGAGCTCTAGGGCAACAAAACAACTTTAGATGGCCAATTCCCAATATGATAAATAAAATAATCTGATTCTGAATAGTATTCCTAGTAAATGCTTTCTAGGAGTTTTTCCTCGTTTCCATGCTTTTGGGTGAACTAATTAATGCTTTTCATAGCAGAAGGCATGCATGTTGGGACTTTAGATCACTAAAAGGATTGGTTCCTCTGAACAGGCCAAAGATTTGAGTTGTTTGTAAAGTAGAACGGCTTTCAAATGCTTGATATGTTGGAAATATTACAAGAAACCTCAGTCATGTCTTATTAGGCCCCGTCCACACGGAGACGAAGCGGGTGTTATCCGCTACGTCCACACGAGGCCGTAACGGAACCGCGGAAACGGAGCCCTCAAACGATAACGCATCCCAAAGGGGGAAGGTCTGGTAACGTAACGCTTCCGGCACCGTGTGTACGCCCTAAACGATCATAGCCCCGCCTCTTCCCACCTCTGCTGCTCGACCCTGCGTCACCCGTGTCATTGCTGATGCGTTTCGCCAACAACAACAACAATGGCGGATCACATGGTTGCGTTCATGCTCCAGACGCTACTGACCATGCTACAGATGTTAGTGCAAAATCTACAGCTCCTCTACCACAGGGGTTCCCCGAGGGGGGGTCGCGAGATGATTACAAATAAAAAATGTAACCCTAACCCTTTTTTTCTTTTAAAACATTCTCAATTTTTTTTTTTATTATAATGAATAATTACGTGTGCATAGACATTTATCAGGGGCGGACTGACCATCTATAGAATTTCCCCGCAGCGAGGCTCCCCCCAGTTGACAATCCACTAGTCGAACGGTCTCGTGTGGACGGACACGTAACTGGTGCCGATTCCGTGTTGACGGAAGACTTTTTTGATATCGACCTCGGTTCGTTTTCGTCTCCTGGGCCTTAGTATCATACAATGATCAGTATAAGAAGTACATCATCAAATGTGCAATGCAATGCAAGTGCAATGGAGTGACAGAAGAGTCTTTAATGAGGTAGCTTATAGTAGAAAAAGACAAGCAGAACATGATTAGAGTGTCACTAAGGCAGAAAAACTGATAAAACTCAGTCAGTCAGCTCTCATTTTAAAACTTTATGAAAAAGAACAGTCCCAGAGATTTCATATTACACAAGTAAGACATTTTGTTCCGAGTTACTTTGTCAGATTTAAGGCATCATGACCTTCAGCAATAACAAAAGAAGAAGGGAAAGCACCCCCTCCACATTTCTCCCATGATTCATAATCAATCACATCAACTGCATCCAATAATTTATTCTCATGAGATAGGGCAAACATGTTTTCATGTAATTTCCTACATTTTCCATTGAGCAAGGAAACGTTTCTGACGAGCATGTCAGCATCATTGAGCATATTTCCACTAGTTTTCTGTAAACATGTCCCCCCCCTCCATACACACTCACACACACACTTTTCAAATTTGACACAATCTTGTAAATCAGCCTTTTTGTCGGTCAGAACAGAAAAAACAATAATATTCAAGTTTACGTTTTCTTTTGGGGGGAATTTGTCCAAACATTTACCCTGTTGTCACATAGTGCAATCACCACTTAAACAATAACAAAAAAATATTTAAGGTTTCAAAAGTAGAAAATATAGCTACAAAGAGATAAGACAAATGTGTGTTGCCATCAGAGGCTCCCTGTATTCCTGATCATAAGGCTCTTTTAGTTAGGCTTGGCTGGTATCATATTTTAATTCACAAATTCACAGTTTTGTGTGTTGAATATTCATGTCAACACAATATCCCCGAGTTTCCCTCCAATTACATCAATCATGAAGGCTTTTACTGAGATAAAACCTAAATACCAGCATACTTATGTCCACCCTGAATAACCCAATACCCTGTAAATCCAATAAAGATAAAGTGGATCCCATCATCATTACAGCATCATCATCAAATCCCTGTTCACAGTGTTCATCCATAGCTAAAAATAGTTTATATCTCCCCCATTTGGGAGGCAATCTCCCCAAAAAATATCTCTAAACTCGTGGTTGCCAACATTTTGGCTTCCGTCCTTTAAATAGAAAAATGTACCACAAAATTAAGCACACCAAAGGATATGGTCTTAGTGTGGGGGCATACTGTGTGTTCAGTTGAATCAATAAAAATTTTTTTTTTTGGTTTGGTTAGGAAGAACTTGCAGAGTCTGAACGAATATTCCAGGTAGATGATCAAAAATACTTTGAAAACGTGTGCCACTGTAGCTCACCTGGTTGAGCTAACGGAAACCTATATTTGGGCTTGGTTCCCTGTTACAGACTCAGGGTTCAAATCCGACCCGCGACAGTATATGAGATCACTGCCCCTGTCGATCAGCCTCTTCAGCCTCTGCATTTCTGGGCAATTTACTGGATCTCAAACTTTGAATGCAGAAGTTTAGCTGCTGGTGTTTTTAAACCTGAAATCTGGAGTACATCAAGTGGGCTAACATGGAATGCATTTTATAGTGCAGTATCATCTCGTTACACCAGGGACCACCTCTGAAATACGTCCTGTCAAGTCCCCGAGAATAAAATATATGAGGTGTGGACTGGCAGCTGGAGGGGGGCCAGTTACCCTTCTGGAGCATAGCACCGAACCCCAAACTACATGGGGGCCGGACTCAGGCCACTATTCTTCTTCTTCTTTCTTGTGTCACCCTTGATGTGCATTGTTGTTGCTGCCATGTGAGTGGCAATTCAAAATAATTTGTTAAATAAACTAAACAGAACAACAAAACGGCCATCTTTGTCCCACAACACCTGAGTGACAGTTCTGCAGAACAAGTCAAGTCGCGTGCACCAACTACGTCTCCGAGCTCGGGGACGCGCCTGGAGACGTGGACACGGAGGAGTTGTCGGTGTCCTCCAGCTCCTTGAGACCGCTGTCGGTACCAGAGGAGCGCGCTGTGGATGAGACGCCCTCGCGCTCGCGCTTTTTCTGCTTCATGCGCCGGTTCTGGAACCAGATCTTCACCTGCGTCTCGTTGAGCTCGAGCGTGGCGGCGATCTCCACGCGCCGCGCCCGCGTCAGGTACTTGCTGAAGTGAAACTCCTTCTCCAGCTCCGTCAGCTGCCGCGTGCTGAAGTTCGTGCGCATGGCGTTGTTGTGCGCGCCCGCGAGGCCGAAGTCCGACACTTTGACTGGGTGGAGGAGAGGGAGAGACAGAGAGAGAGACACGGAGTAGAGAGAGAAGTGGTTAGAAACGTGTTTTGGAACTTATAGAATAACTTTGGAACGAGGAAATCAAGGCTGAAAACTCTGTCTTTATAATCAATTTTAAATTACCCACTTGTTAAATATTGATTTCATTTGATTTTTAGCCACTTTCTGTCTGCTTAACTCTATAATGTGTTACATTGATGGTTTTTGGTTATTTGCATTTTCTGTGTGTATTTAATGATTTGAAAATATGCTTTACATAAAATGCGGAATTTTTATTATTATTATTATTACTACTATTATTATTATTGTTATTATTATTATTATTATTATTACTAATGTTATTGTTATTACTATTATTATTAAAGAACAAAAAGTCTCCCCTGTTGAAATTAAATGTGTCCTTTTGGAAACTACTGTTTTCATGTGTTAGGTTAATAGGTTTGTTAGGTTTAAATCCAGAGTGTATGAGGCTTGTGTGGTTAGTTCAACCATGAACTTCAAGTGAAAGTAGACATTACAGAGAAAAATGTTTAAGTTCTTAAGTTCTGTATGAACCAAATACAAAGAGGGGTGGGGGTCCGACTGTGTGTGTGTGTGTGTGTGTGTGTGTGTGTGTGTGTGTGTGTGTGTGTGTGTGTGTGTGTGTGTGTGTGTGTGTGTGTGTGTGTGTGTGTGTGTGTGTGTGTGTGTGTGTGTGTGTCGTAGTGTCGTGTCGTGTGTGTGTGTGTGTGTGTGTAGTGTCGTGTGTAGTGTGTAGTGTGTGTGTGTGTGTAGTGTGTGTGTAGTGTGTGTGTGTGTGTGTGTGTGTGTGTGTGTAGTGTGTAGTGTGTGTCGTGTAGTACGTTAGTTAGTT